GGTTTTAGGTGTGTTTTTTTTTCTTTTCACTTAAAAAGTACATTACTGAGTTAGAGAGGTGTGGGAATGGATCAGTATCAAGATCAGAAATAAAAATTACAGTGACTAAAGAGTAGAAATAGGAGATTTTTGCCTTGTATGTGGCTGACCCAGGTTCTATCCCTGGCACTCCATATGGTCCTCTGAGCCCGCGAGAGTGATCCCTGAATGCAGAGCCAGGAGTCAGCCCTAAGCGCAGCCACTTGTGACCCAGGAACTCCCCCCCATCTCCACCCCAGCCCACCCCCTAAATAGAAAGGAAATAAGAATTACAGTTTAGGTGTAGTTACTGGATGACTGACTAGTCATAGATAGAGCAAATCTGTCAATTATTTATGTACTTTAAGTTCTAGATGTAGGACTTTGTGTATATATGTTCACTTCCTAATTGTTTTTATTCTTTTTTTTAAATTTTTTTTTTTTTTTTGCTTTTTGGGTCATACCCAGCGACACTCAGGGGTTACTCCTAGCTCTGCACTCAGTTATTACTCCTGGCGGTTCTTGAGAGACCATATGGGATGCTGGGGATTGAACCCAGGTTGGCCGCTTTCAAGACAAACGCCCTCCCTGCTGTACTATCACTCTGGCCCAGCCAATTGTCTTTATTCTGCTGTTTGGAATTACACGCTCTTTCTCAACCTAGAAGCCTACATTTGAAGTGGGACTAGTGTCTCGATGTAGCTTTGTAGTAAGTGCTTTGCTGTGTATGAAAGCCGGGACTTGATGACCAGCTCAAAAAAAAAAAAGGAAAGGGAAATGTTAAAATAGAACTAAGTGTGAATGGGCATGAGGATGGTGGTGCATCATGGTGGTTCATATTGAGGTAGCGTACTCCAGCCTTACCATCCCGATGAAAATACTGAATGCCCCAACAAACACGATGAGCTTTGAGGACCTGTATGACAAACCATAGCACTGGGTAGCACTGCCCTCCCGTTGTCCATCGATTTGCTCGAGTGGGCCCAGTAATGTCTTCATTTTGAGACTCGTTACTGTGTTTGGCATATCGAATACGTCACGGGTAGCTTGCCAGGCTCTGCCGTGCGGTTGAGATACTCAGTAGCTTGCTGGGCTCTCCGAGAGGGGCAGAGGAATCGAACCTGGCTGGGCCGGGCTGGCTGTATGCAAGGCAAATGCCCTACCACTGTGCTATTGCTTTAGCCCAATGGCAAACCATAATGCACAAAAATAGAGGGAGGCTGGAAGTGGGGGTGGGGTGTTGGGGGGTGGTGGGAGAAAAATGGGGGACACTGGTGCTTGGAAATGTACGCTGATGGAGGGATGGGTATTGGATCATTGTATGACTGAAACCCAATCATGAACAGCTTTGTAATGGTCTATCTCACGGATATTCAATAAAAATTAAAAAAAAAAAGTAATGTGGAGTTCATGCCTACTTTAGTCAGCTTAATCAGTGGCTGAATAAACAACAGTACTCCTACATTAAAACAGCATGTTGAGGTAGTGTTTATTGTACAGCAAGGACTGTTCGAAGTATTTCATATGTGAGGCACAAATCTGTGAGTGGTAATTAGTATTTCACTCATTTGGAGGTTATAAACTGGCATAGAGGGGTAAATAGCTTTTCCTGACTCACCAAAAGGAGGTTGGTTCAGGATGCCACCCAGCAGCCTAACTCCATGGCTTTCCTGTTCCGCAAAAGAAAGGGTACATCAAAGTCAGAGAATCTGAAGCTCTTTTAGAGTTAATTCAAAGTCATTTTTGTATTCTCAAAAATACTGTCTTTATTTAGATTCTTTTTTGTTTTGGGGGTCACACTCAGTTGATGCTCAGGGGTTACTCCTGGATCTGTGCTCAGAAATTACTCCTGGGGGATCCTATGGGATGCCTGGGATCAAATACATGTGAGCAGAGGGTAGGGCAAAAGCCCTACTGGCTGTACTAATTTCTCCAACCCCTATTCAGACTGTGTGTGTGTGTGTGTGTGTGTGTGTGTGGTGGTGGTGGTGGTGGTTGGGGGACAAAGGGAAGGTAGGTCTTCCCTTTGCTCTAGGAATACAACAGATAATTTGACTCTACAGTAGTTTCCCCAGTCATCTTGTGCAGGTACCCCATTTTCTTAACCCCACTTTAGCAATCCTGAGAAATCACATTTTTCTCTTACACAATTTAATAAAGACAAGAATTAGAAATGCAGAAAATATATCCTGTCCTTTATTACTTGCATGATATGATGGCTACTCCTAAATGTACTGTTTTCAAAACAACAGCAATAAATTGCTAGAGCAATAGTACGTGGATAGGGCACTTAGCTTGCATGCATTCGACCTTGAGTTTGATCCCTTGATATAACATATGTTCCCCTGAGCCCTGCCAGGAGTGACCACTGAGCACAAAGCCAGGTGCAGAAATCAGAGATACAGAGCAGAAATTCATGATATAGAAATCAAAGAAACAATACAAAGAGTCAACAAAACTGGGAACTGATTCTTCAAAAATAAAATTAGACAAACCTTTGCATAGATTCATGAGGAAAAAAAGAGAAAATGCCCAAATAAGTCAAATCAAAGACCAAAAGGAAGAAATTACAACAGATCTTTCAGAAATTCAAAGTGTCATGATAGGTTTTTATGAATAACTTTCACTGCTTAATCTGGTGCACCTAGAAGAAAGGGACTCATTTGGGCACTTATCTAGCCTGGGTTTGACCCCTGGCAGCCACCCCACAGGGTCTCCTGAGCACGGGAACCAGGAGTAAGTCCTGAGCACCACTGGGTCTGGCCAAAAAACAAAACCCAAACCAAAAACCCCCCACCAAACAAAATCCCCCAAATTTGGTAAAAAAATAAAAATAAAACAAAAAAACAAAGGAAATTGGCTAAAATAGCACACTACACATTTTTGAAAGATAAGTTAAAAATGGATTAAAGTTTAGAGACTATGTTAAAAGTCTCAAAACTATCCAAGAAGACCAAGACTGTTATACAACAAAAGCTAATCAACTCCTGGGGCAGATCTGTGGTAGTACATAGACACTGTGGTGACATGCCCCCCTTCCCCCATCCCCGCCTCTCCCATAGGCAGTCGCCCCACAACTGGCAGTGGGGATAGACAAAAAATAAAAACCTTCCAGCTATCTCAAACCTGCAAAATCGTTTTGATAGGGCTAAAGGCATTTGCCTTGCCCACGGCCAGTCCGGATTCGGTACCATGTATCCATTCCTGAGCCCCACCAGGAATGATCCTTGAGCACCAAAGGTTGTGGCACCAAAACGAAACCAAACCCATCAATGACGCTCCCACCCCCACAAACTCATGGAAATTACAACTTTTGGGGGAGGATCACACCTGGCGATGCTCAGGAGTTACTCCTGGCAGTGCTTGGGGGACCATATGGAATGCCGGGATCGAATCCAGGTTGGCGTGTGCAAGGCAAATGCCCTACCCGCTGTACTATCGCTCTGGCCCAGAAATTGCCATTTGCTACTTAAATATGTAAAATATTACTCACCCAAACTGTATTTAGTAGAAATTATGGTTATAAAAAAAATCCATGTTAGCAGAAGTTGTAGTCAAAGATAAAAAACGACTGAGAATCGCATAAGAAATATTTTTATTGAAACAACTTGCATAACAAGACATTGCATAAGTTTCATGTACACATCACTATAAATGATCATTATAAATCAACATCTGTACATACTAGTGAAAAAATTTAAGTGTAACAGCCATCCCAGGCTCTCAGGTCCTTGACCTCAAGCAGTCAAAATTAACACCAGTTGGGGTCAGAGCTAATAGAGCAGGTGGGGTGAGAGGAAATACATGTTCAAGTGGGACAGGCTTCTCCAGAGTGGATTTGGAGACAAGTCTACTTTTCTCGCCAGTAGTGTTGTCTCCAAATTCATTTGTGATGTTGCATTCCTGAAGTGTGTCATCTATAGGTTTGGGGTTTTATGACTTGGAGTTGAATACTCATCAGGGCTTACTCCTGGCTCTGGGGCAGGGATCGCTCCTGGCAGTACCCCAGGGACTGTATGTGGTACGGAACCCAGGCAAGTGCCTTACCTGTTGCATTCTCTCCAGTCCCTTTATTTTTATTATTAAAATATAACGATGCGGGGGAGGGGGCGGACAGTAGAGTGGAAAGAGCTAATGCTTGTAGCTCGCCAACAGGTTTTAATCCTCGGCATCCCACATGGTCCTCAGAGCACCGCCAGGAGTAATTCCTGAGTGCAGAGCCAAGAGTAACCCCTAAGCATCACCAGGTGTGGCCCCCCCCAAAAAAACAAATACAGGTTTTTCTTTAAGAAAACCTCGAATTTGACTAATTTTTTTTTATCTTAATTGAATCAGTTGTTCACAGTGTTAATTAAATCAGTTGCTCCTGGTATGTAATTTTAGATATATTTCCAATCCTATGGCTAATGAAATGTCTTTCACTCTTAAAATGCCTGCCTTATTATGTTATTCTGCTTCAGCTGAATTGATATGACTTTGGGGTAATTAGAAATTCTCCTTTATTGTACTTATGGTAATTCTAGCACTTAATATTTTGAGATTCTCAGTTATAAAATGCTAGTATGGTGAATGAAGGCAGTCAGAGGGAAAGGCACCAATACAGACTGACCCCTCTCATGTGTGGTAAGCCAAGAAACATAAGGGACCATTAGGGGTCACTGGTGACAGACTGTGTGAGCAGATCTGCAGAATTGACTCTGCTGAGTGAGGTGGCCATGGGAGATGACCTTGAGAGATTGTTGGAGTGATGGAGGTGTGGTGTTGGTGCATTGCTTGACTGAAGCTATGGTAAACTGTTTAATAACTGCCTGCAGCAAACATGAAAATCAAATGCTAGCATGAGTATGATAAAATAGTCTTTTATACCTCTTAATACAAATCTGTTATTTTTGTATTTTCATTTTTATTTGAACATAGGTTATCTTTATAATGCAGCACTTTTTTTTAAAAATTTCTTTCTCTCTTTCTAAAAAAATTTCTAGTTCATTCAGCTCGTAAAGAAATGACAGAGTCTCCAGGACAAGAGGAAAATCCTGAGAGCTTAGTGAAATATTTCAGTGTCGTTTGGTGTAAGGCTTCGAAGAAAAAACACAAAAAGTGGGAAGGTGATGCAGTTCTAATTATAAAAGGAAAATCGTTTATACTAAAGGATTTGGAAGGCAAAGACATTGGAAAAGGTATTGTGACATATTAATGTTTATGATTTCATCTAAAATTAGTTTTAGTGGATTTTATAGAGGAGTAGATTAGGATCTTTAATTTCCTTCTGTATCTACATTATCTTGTACACATAAAGTTGCTTTATAATAATTACTCAGTATGATAGTTTTGTATGTCTAATGAGGTACATCTTATCCTGTGGTTTTTATTTTTCTCCAAAAATCAAATGACCATCCAGGTTTTTAGTTATTTCAGCATTTTGGTTGGGATTTGTCTTACTGTGCTCTTCTCTTTTCCTTTTTTTTTTCCTTAAAGGAAAATGCTAAGTGTTAAAAGGTAAAAAGATAAAATATATCAGATAAAATATATCAGGAATAGAATAAAATTCCATGATACCCAGTACAGTTTTGAAAAGAACAAGGAGATAATATTTGGATATGACTTAGATTGATGCATGCAAAATGGAGGTTACCATTATTTATTTTATAAATATTGCCAGCATGATTTGTGCTTATAAAAGTGAGTGCACAGGTTCAAAATACCTAACAGCAGGCATGCTTTTCTTTGCATTGTCTGTTACTATTTATTGTTGAGCTCATAAAGTCTGTCTCACAGATGCTCCCCTCCTCCATCTAGAACTCTCATTCCTACTTGTCTCCGTGCTGCTTTCCTTGTTGGTTTCCACGCTAGAGAACTCTGTTCTCTGTCCAACACACTTCTTCTCTTATTCACGAAAAAAATATATAAGATGAATAAAATAAAAATATCATGAGTTTGAGATCTGGAAGATGGCCCCGAAGCTCTTTTCTTGCAAGGGCAAGGTTGAGTGCTGACCCGGTCCTGGCTGTACTTCGGGAAGCATATGTAGTATCAGGGATTTGTTTTTGTTTGTTTTTTTTTTGTTGTTGTTTGGGGGCCACACCCGGTGGTACACAGAGCTTACTCCTGGCTCTGCACTCAGGGATCACTCCTGGCTGAACTCGGGGGACCATATGGGATGCTGACCATGTGCAAGGGAAGCGCCCTACCCCCTGTACTGTCTCTCTGGCCGTTGTACCAGGCGTTTGAACTAGGATGCCTGAAATGCGAAGTACCATACTCCTGTCTGCCTCTTCAGCTCCTGATTTAGTGGTTTGGTTTTTTGTTCCTAACTAAAACGATAAATTATATTTTTGTTCTGGCTAATGGATAAATCCACTGTTATTTGCATTTAAAGCAATGTTTTCATTCCATTAGTTCTGGGAAGTGACTAATAGTATACTAAGCAAGTTATCTTAGAGTGTCAATAAAATGAATTATGAAATCTTCTTCTCAATTTAAAGGCATTGGCTATAAATTCAAAGAGCTTGAAAATATTGAAGAGGGGCAAACAATGATGATTGGTGGGAAAGAAATAGAAGTCCTGGGTGTGATCTCAGCAGCTGATTTCAGCAGTGGCAGATGTTTTCAACCTGGAGGCGGAGGAAGTACTGTTATCTCAGATTCTTCTCAGGCGGCCAAGAAGCCTTTCTCCAATCCTTTCAAACACGCCTGTAAACCAAGTTCAAAGGAAAATAGGCAACACGATTTCCAGAATTGCAAGCCACGCCATGATCCATGTGCCCCAAGTAAGATTTAAAATATAATCTTCTTCCTTCCTAAAAGTCTTTTGTAAGTTTAAATTTTATTTTGAAGTTGTAAAGGGGATGTTTATATATATATTTTAGTCTCATAAAATGCTATTATGCATATGTCGAAGGAAAATATGCACAAATTGTAGATTAATGTATACATAAAAATGCATGTGTCTGTTTTTAAAAAGGAACATATTTGGTAAGGACAAAAATCAGTAAAATCACAATCAAAATGTTTTTGATTTCTGTTTTCAAGACCATATACCTTGATTATATCCACTAGTGTGTTGAAATATTGAATGGTGAGATATGTAAGGTAAAAGGTAAAGGCCCTCCCGTTGATCGTCGATTTTGCTCGAGCGGGCCCAGTAACGTCTCCATTGGAGACTTTGTTGTTACTGTGTCTGGCATATCGAATACTCTCGGTAGCTTGCCGGGCTCTCCGAGAGGGGCGGAGGAATCGAACTCGGGTCTGCCAATGTTGGCCGCGTGCAAGGCAGACGCCCTACCCGCTGTGCTTGTAAAGAATTAAAACGTTATTTGTGAAAATTTAAAGATTAATTTTCTTTTTTTTTTTTTTTTTTTTGCCTGTTTGGGTCACACCTGGCAATGCCCAGGGGTTACTTCTGGCTCATTCACTCAGGAGTTACTCCTGGCAGTGCTCAGGGGACCATATGGGAAGCTGGGAATCGACCCTGGGTCGGCCACGTGCAAGGCAAATGCCCTCCCCGCTGTGCTATTGCTCCAGCCCCAATTTTCACATCGATGAGTTCAATTTTATGTTTTGTGTTCGTGGTTTTATTTTGGGCCTACACCTGGCATAGCTCAGGACTTACTCCTGGTTGTGTGTTCAGGGAACATGTACTGCAGCTCTGGGGAGAACATTATGTTGAATCAAACTGGGCTTGGCCACTACAAGACAAGTATCTTAACCCCTGTATTACAGTCTCTCTGGCCCTGATTAGTTCAATATTAAAATCACATTTAAAAAAAAATAAAACTTTGGATTTTCCTCTCTGGAGAAGCCCTCTCTCTCCTCACATCTAAGTAAGTTTCTTTCAATAAAAACTGTTTTTGCTTCACTCAAAAATAAAAGGAAATCAAGCCTAGTCTCTTTAAATTTAGTAAGTATGAGTAAATATGTTGTAGATATGGCAGTTGGGGAATAGAATAGGGTTCTTTGATAATAGTAGCAAAATTAAGTGACGTAGTTAACGATTTCCCCCTCTTGCAAATATTATGAAAACACAGAATCATTTTTTTTTCTCTGTGGTTTTGGGGCAGCGTCCAAAGACCACTCCTGGCTCTGTGCTCAGAGGTATGCCCAGGGGTGCTTGTAGGTCCATGTGGTTCTGGGGGACAAGCCCAGGCCTTCAGCAGAGAGACCCCCAACTCTGCCCTTGAGCTCGCTCTCTCATTCTTTTGAATAAAGGGGCTTTATTATCATTTGGGGGGGTGGCAGGGTGAAGCAAGATAGTGTCTATTGAAACTTATTCGTCGATTGCCTCGAGCAGGCCCCAGTAACGTCTCTTTCATCCTAGCCCTGAGATTATATTCAAGGCTCTTTAGGAGAATGAGATCCATTATTGAAACTTAATTAGAAAAATGTGAGGGGAGAGGAAGAGAGAAATGTGCGGTCAGAAGGGAGCACAGGCTTCTCTAGAGTGGAAATAAGCGAGCCAAGAGACAGAGGTAAGCAAGAGAGATGCGGGAGAACAGGCTGGAAGGGACCAGTGAGTGGGCGTTTGAGATCATGTCTATCAATCCCTCACTTTGCCATGGAAGAAACGGAAATCCCGAAAGATGGACTGACTTGACAAAACTCAGATGATTCTTGGCATAATCAAGGTTAAAAATTCCACTAAAAGTCCTAGCTTCACATGAATTTATCAGAGACTTGATTGAAATGCCTGGAAGTTTATACTTCTGACTTCGTCTCTTTTTATCCTGCTATTTGATTTGTTCCACCAGCTTTAAAAATAATACTTCTTTCTCCTTGATTCTCCATTCTCCTTTGCTGTCTTATTATGTAAAAGAGGGTTTTGGGGACTGAAAAGAATTCTGTGCTTATTCAAACACTGGATTAGAGTCCCGGTTTTGCCACTGAACCAACTGGTTCTTGGACTGATCTGGCTAAGGTTTTGTCCTCTCAGGAATGAAATGTGGGTTCTAATAACTGCTTGAGAGATTTAAGAGGACCCTCCCCCGCCCTTGTAGATACTCTGTACAAAGAAGGTCCTTTGTGTAAATGGTGGATTATCCTCCCTTGATCTAACCTTGGGTGGAATTAGGTAGCTACCCCCCACCCTGCCCAATTTAGAAGACAAGAACTAGGTCGAGGATTTGAAACATTGAAACCTGGGGCTGTAATGGTGGGGGCCCTTTAAGCTTGGGGCGGCTGTCCCATTATTCTGGTGTTGTCTTGAAAATGGGCACGTTGCTAGTTGGCTTTTAATTCTGTGATCCTCCTTGCTTGGCAGCAAATATACAACCTTCCTCTGTAGTTTCTCTCTTTTTCCTCTTGGAGCTTTGAAAATTGACTTTAAATTTTTTATTACTCATTTTTAGCTAAATAAGAGTTTTATTCAGAAAAATGTAAGCAGAGAGAAAGAGCGAGAACACGCTTCTCAGGTCGTGGTAAGCGAGGCACCTTATCACTTATTCATTATTTTTGGTTTGGGGCCATACCTGGTTGTGCTCAGGGCTTACTCCTGGCTCTGCCCAAGGGTCATTCCTGGTGGTGTCAGGGACCCATCTGTGGTGCTGAGGATTAAACCCACATTGGCCACATGCCCTACCCATTGGATTGTATCTCTGGCCCTCATGGAACGTTAAATAATAATAAAACATTTTATAGTGGCGTTGGAGGGGCTGGGACAATTCCCAGGGGTGCTTGACCCTACCGTGAGGGCTTCAAGGTTTGGAGCTTGTGCTCAGAAAATGTGGGTCTGTCTACCAGGCCACATGCAGCTGTTCTGTAGGGGTGATGCAGTATCAGGATTGTTGACCTGATATGTGCTCTAACCCTTGAGCTACCTCCCATACCCCAACCGTGCATTTTTTAAAAAAAGAAATGGGCTTTCTTGGTTGGATATCTACAAGACAATCAACAACTCTTGCTTTGCTGCTATGATATCCAGGAAAACCAGTGTAGCACTGTAGCACTCTCCTCCCAGGCTCCAGTAATGTCTCCATTGTGAGATTTGTTGTCACTGTTTTTGGCATATCCAATACGCCACAGGGAGCTTGCCATGCTCTGCCATGCTGGCAGGATACTCTCGGTAGCTTGCCAGGCTCTCCAAGAGGGACAGAGGATTTGAACCCATGTCGGCCACCTGCAAGGCAAACGCCCTACATGCTGTGCTATTGCTCCAGCCCAGGAAAACCAAGAACTAAAGTTTCCATTTGCAGCCAACCTGTGTTTGATCCCTGTTACCCTGTATGTTCTCCTGATCCCCACCAAGAATGATCCCTGAGCACCACCAGGTATGGGCCCGCCCCCCCCCCCCACCTCCCCCCCAATACATTATTATTTTTTATTTCATTCTCTAATGCCTTTCCTCCCAGGAATTGGTCTGAAAAAAAAAATGAGAGTTCTGTTCAATTTGCTAAGGAAACTGGGAAGAGCCATAGAAAATTGTCTTCTGAGTAAAATTGCTGTTGGTAAACATGTCCAAGTTCTCGTTCTCATAACGGTGTCTTTTCCCCCTATAAGAGAGTCTACTGGACTCCGTCCGTGTGTGGGCTTTTGTTTCCTGGAGGGTTCGGTCCACACTCGACAGCCCTGGGTGCTGACTCCTGACCCTGAGCTCTGGGATATGCAGTTGTGGGGTTGGGCTGGGGGCGGCTGCAGGGTTTTGGGGGGGGGGGATGGTGGTCAGCACCTTACCCATGTCTCTCCAGCCGCTCCTTCCCTTTCGGTTTTAAACATTTTATTTTTTAACCATGATGTAGATAATAGATGTGCCTCGCAAATGCTTTTGGCTTCTTGCCTAACTTCAGATTTATCAGTCATGTTCAGCTTGTGGGTTACATTTCCTATCGTCTATGTGTATGTTTGTCTACGTGTATGCATTGATTTGTTTTACAGCGGGGGTGGGGGGTGCTGTGATGCGGTGGTCAGGAGATCTGGGGCCCTTCTCAGTGATTCTCAGTCCCTGATTTTTCTCCGTCAAGCTCCTGGCAGTTCTGTGTGAGGCCCACAGCTCTGGCCCTGGGCTCCTGGGGATCACCCCGGCCCCCTGGAGGTGCTAAGGAGACCTCATGGCTGTACCTGGCAGAGGCTGGGGGACCATGTGGGATCGGGGTTGGCTTGCATGCAAGACATGACTCTTCATCCCTCTACTGTCTCCCTGGTATTGTATATTTTTGTTGATATTTTCATAAATTTTTAATTGTATTTGATTATCTCTAAAGAACTCTGTTATGACTACTGCATGCTGCCTTGCAGAAGAGATTCATGGATTTGAGCTTCACAAATCTAGTAACTTAAACCAATTAATGATCGCAATTGGATGGAAAACTTATCCTTTCCTAGTATTTCTGATTGCTTGGAGAATGAGCATTGTTCATGTGTACAGGACTGTAGGCAAAATGAAGCTTTATGTTAAATTTGCAGAACCATTCCAGAATAAGAAGCTGATCATTAGCAGGTGCATTTGGGCAGAATTCCAGTCTGTGCTTTCAGTTGGAAATAATTCTCTTTGCTCTGAATACGGAGCCATTTATTAAGTGTCGTAGCTTGCTGAATTTCCTACTGAGCAGTTGTGAATTTTACTGTATTAAAAGCCCTTTGGGCATATGAAGTTTGAAAGTTCCTTGTAATTTTTTACATGCATCAGTGAAGTATAAGGCTTTATTTTGTAATTTTGTACTCTTTTTTAGAACTAGTGTTGATAAATTTCTTCTGGGGGCATAAAAAACGGAAAGACAGTTTTACCTTGTCAATAACTAAAGCGGGCAAAGTGAAATTATAGTCCATTTATGATTCTGCTTTTGTCTTTTCCTCAAGATTCTCTTGTTATGCTCAGGCCAGACAATAATCACCAGCGGATGTTCAATAAGAACCGTTTCCCTATCGTGGAGGTCGTCATAGACCCTCACCTTGTGCATCATCTCCGACCTCATCAGAAAGAAGGAGTCAGCTTCCTTTATGAATGTGTGATGGGAATGAGGTAGGAAAATGAGTCCTATCTTCAGTCCAACCAGAGTTTTGATTTAAACCTGTCTGTACCATAATGCTTTTCTAGGAAGAGCCTGATTAAATGAGTCATGAAGGACACGTCCTGAACATTAGCTGATAGGAATGACAAAGGGTAATGTGTCTGCTGATTTCAAAAGTGTTTCTTGTGGATTGGATACCTCTTCCAGATATCCGGCTAGAAGCTGACCATATCAGAGTCAAGACCATCGCCTTAATCTTTTTTTTTTTTTAATTTTTATTAGTGAAACACCATGAGGTATAGTTGTAGACTTACAAATTTTTGTGCTTGGGTTTCAGTTATACAATGATCAAACACCCATCCCTCCACCAGTGCCCATTTCCCACCACCACTGATCCCAGTATCCTTCCCATCCCCCATCCCCCCCCACCCTGCCTCTGTGGCAGGGCACTCCCTTTTGTTCTCTCTCTCCTTTTGGGTGCTGTGGTTTGCAAAAGAGGCAATGGGTGGCAATCATGTTAGGTCTAAGTAACATAAAAGTATTTAAGGAAACAGGTGAATGTAAGCAATCTCAATTTATAATACGAGCTTACTACTGCAGTGATAACTGGTTATAATGGTAAAATGGAAGAAGTTAATTCTGCTTATGGGGATTTCAGGAAAAATGTTTTTACTTTTGTCTCACTTTTATTTTTATTTAAAAAAATTCCCATGCTCCCCTTTCAAGTTTTTTGGTTAAAGAATTTAGTATTCTCTGAAAGATTTCAGAAGACACATACAAACACACACATAGAGGAAGTAAAGAAGAACTTATTTGACCTCATTTTGCCTTGTATTCACAAATTGTTGGTCCAAAGTAGTGATAATGGCTGTAATTCCTGTTTGCAGTTTTTTGTCTGTACTTTGAAATGGGAAACAAAGAAATTGCCTTTTGGGTTTTTTTTTTTCCCACTTAACAGACATAGAATGGATAAATTGTACCTTTATTTTTGGCAATATTCTCTATCCCTCTGCACTTCATAACTAAAAAAATATGTCCACTTAAAAAAACTAGAAGATGGTCTTAAAAATGCCATTTATTACTCTTCCTTATGATATTTATTTTGAATCACATTGACTAGATCACTAGATTGCATGAACAAGATTAAGTGACTAAAATTTTTTTGTGCTTTTTGGTTGAGGATTTAATTAATTTGCTCTTAGAGAATCATGAGTATAGATCCATAGTTCTGATTGATTTTATTTTTTCTGTTGTATTTTATTTGGTTTCTTATTTAGAAACTGTGTGAATGTGCAGCCCCCTCCTGGCCATGCTCGGGAGCCAGGTGACCCAAGGGCCCCCGGCAGGCGAGTCACAAGCTCTTCCCTTTGAGCCTGGCCTTGGCACAAACTTCCGTTAGACTTTTTTTTTTTTTTGCTTGTTGGGTCACACCTGGCGATGCATAGGATTACTCCTGGCTCTGCACTCAGGAATTACTCCTAGCGTTGCTCAGGGGACCACAATGGGATGCTGGGAATCAAACCTGGGTCAGCCATGTGCAAGGCAAACACCCTACCCGCTGTGTTATTGCTCCAGCCCCCCCGTTAGATTTTTTTTTTTAATTATTTTTATTTCAATGGTGTTTGCCCCACATCTTGGCGGTGCTCTTGGCTTACTTGTAGCTCTGCACACAGGGATACTCCTGGAGGTTCAGGTGACCATATGGGACACCGGAGATCGAACTCAGGTCAGCTGGGGACAAGGCATACGCCCTCCCCGCTGTACTGTTGCTCCAGCTCCTGTAATAGATTTTAAACTTTTTATATCTCATACTGAAACTGATCAGAATAGCTCGTGTTAGTGATGAGATGAATAGTTTCAGTTAAATTATTCACATGTACATATAAAATTGGAATTTATTTCTTTTTGGATCACACCCAGTGATGCACAGGGATTACTTCTGGCTCATGCACTCAAGAATTACTCCTGGTGGTGCTGGGGGGACCATATGGGATGCTGGGAATTGAACCTGGGTTGGCCATGTGCAAGGAAAACGCCCTACACACTGTACTATTGCTCCAAACCCCAGGACTTTATTTCTTGTCTCTAAATGTAAACTTAGCATAGTAACAGGTGATTAAGATTCAATTCTCATCATTTCAGATTGGTTTAAGTAATTTAGTTGACCATAAATACCTAATGAATATAATCTTCAGAGTTCCAGAAGAGAGCCGTTGTAAATCAGCTAAATGAAAAACTGAAAAAAGTGTTTAGTTGGCGGGGAGGGGTGGGATGGGGGATAGCAGGAATTTAGTGGAGGAGTAGAGAGGAGAATAATTACGAAATCTTGTTGCTGATCCTTGACTATTACATTCTGCGAGGGACAGAAAATGGTCTTTTCTTCCTGCTGTCATTAAAGGAAGTGCACTTGTTCCCAACAGGGTGAATGGCAGATGTGGAGCCATTCTTGCTGACGAGATGGGTTTAGGGAAAACGCTGCAGTGTATCTCCCTCATCTGGACTCTGCAATGTCAGGGGCCCTACGGGGGCAAGCCAGTCATAAGGAAAACACTGATTGTCACGCCGGGAAGCCTGGTGTTGAACTGGAAGAAAGAATTTCAAAAATGGCTTGGAATTGAAAGGATCAAGATATTTGCTGTGGACCAGGTAAAATACGTTATCATTCCTTTTTTTTTAATTCTTTGGGTCACACCTGGCAATGCCACACAGGGGTTCCTCCTGGCTCTGCACTCAGGAATTACTCCTGGCCGTGCTTGGGGGGACCATATGGGATTCGGGGAATCGAACCCCAGTCAGCCGCATCCCCTTCCCCCCCCCTTTTTTTTAAACAAACACACACTGTTCTCCAATCGGATCTCTACACCAAAGCAGGAGAGTATGAAATATGCCCATTTTGACCATTTACAAACCCAAGCAGGAAGGGCAGAGCACTCTAGTGGCATGATGTCTTCAGTGTCCAGACCCCAGCCCTTAGGACAGACTCTGTGCCCCATCTGCAGGGCCAGACCTGCTCGTGGGCCTGTGGCACAGTGGGAGTCCACGCAGGGCAACAAAGCTCGTCTAGGGGGTGCCCTGGGGCATCAGTGCCATGGACCATGTGCTTATTTTCCTTCTTATAGCTTTCCTTCATTCTTTCTGCTTTTTTTTTTTTAACTTTTTTATTGAATCCCTGTGAGATAGACCCTTAAAAAGCTGTTCAGGATTGGGTTTCAGTCATACAGTGTCCCAACACCCATCCCTCCACCAGGGCACATTTCCCAGCACCAGGGTCTCCAGGTTTCCTCCCATCTCCCTATCCTTGCCTGCCTCTGTAGCAGGTGCGTTCCTTCTCTCTCTCTCTCTCTCTCTCTCTTTCTTTCTCTGTCTCTCTCTTTTTATCTCTCTCTCCTTTTGGACATTTGTGATTTGCAGTATTGATACTGAAAGATTATTAAAAATATCCCTTTACCTACTTTTTAAACTCTCAGATCTTGTCCAGTGGTCATTCCCAGCTATTATTTTCATCCTGGTCTCTTCTCTATCTTACCTACCCTCAGCCCCACACATACTTGTGGTTAGATACAACCAATGACCAGTCCTCCTGGTCCCTGTTTTCCTGGCCATGGATATTAGTCTTCACACACACACACACACACACACACACACACACACACACACTTTATAATTTTGGACATTTTCTAAATCTGTTTTATTTAAAAAATTCAATACTGCATTTCTCTCTATTTAGCCTTTTTTCCAAGTGTCTGTAACTTTCCAAATCTTTGGCAGAAAGAAAATGGAATCTTTGCTTAGAATTTGGCTTTGAGTTAATATACTCTGATAGTTGATCGATGTCTATCAGGATCATGCTCTTAAATTTTGTGTCAGTTTCTTCCCAGGATTTGCTAAAGAACTTTTGTTGCTCTTGTTGTCTTAGGACCACAAAGTAGAAGAATTCATCAAGTCTCCATTTTATTCTGCTCTTATCATCAGTTATGAAATGTTACTTCGTTGCCTGGATCAGATTAAGAATATCAACTTTGATCTTCTAATCTGTGATGAAGGCCATCGTTTGAAGAACAGTGCCATCAAGACAACGACAGCTCTCCTTAACCTTTCTTGTGATAAAAGAATCATTCTGACAGGTCATTCTTAATATTTCCAGTGATATCTATACCCAAGCAGTCAGATTCTAGTGATGCTCAGACTTAATGATATGCTAAATAAAAATCAAGTTCAGGGGCCGGAGCCACGGTACAGAGGGTAGGGCTCTTGCCTGGCTCACAGCTGACCCAGGTTTAATTTCTAGCACTCACCCGGGTCCCTGAGCACCACCAGAGCCAGGAGTGACCCCTGAGCACTGCCAGATGTGCAACCAGCTCCCCCCTGAATCAAGTGCATAGTTAAAACTGGAATTTATATTTTATGTGGTTATTAATATGCATATTTTTCCAGTATGATTTGGTTGGTCTTTCTCAGTTTTAGGGAGTTGGATTGGAATTAGTCCTCTTAGGAAAGACGGTGCAAATTCTTAGCTAGAGCTGTGCTTATAAAACAAATGGACTTTCTCATCACTTTTCTCTCTCTCTCTAGGTACTCCAGTTCAGAATGATCTCCAGGAGTTTTTTACATTAATTGATTTTGTAAATCCAGGAATATTAGGTTCTTTGTCATCTTACAGAAAAATATATGAGGAACCCATTATTATATCCAGACAGCCTTCTGCTTCTGAGGTATGATTTACTTTAATAAATAGGTTGAAAGATCATTATGTCTAGGAAAATCTTCCGTAACTGGGGTATTATTTTAATTTAGGAAAAATTGAATTACTATAGTGAATTCTTTATTTTTCTCATAACCCTTCAACTTTTCCTGCATGCTTTATTTTAGAAAATGGCATCATATAGGGACTGCGAATATTACTCAGTGGTAGTGCATTTGTGTACCTGTGTCAAATTCTGGGCTTTATCCCCAGTGCTGAAGAACATTAAAAAAAAGAGAAAGAAAGAAAGAAAGAAAGAAAGAAAGAAAGAAAGAAAGAGAGAAAGATAGATATCATAAGTTAAAAAGTCAGGGACGGGGGACAGAATTCCAGGGGTTAAGGTGCTGTGTTGAAGGTGGCTGACCCAGGTCACCACAATAAGGTCATCACATATGGTCACCACATAAGGTCTCAGAGGGCTACTAGGAGTAAATTCTGAGCACCTCTGAATATGGCACCAAAACCAAGCCAAAAAAAAAAAAAACAAAAACAAAGTTTAGGGACTTGAAGGATAGTATAGAGTGTAAGGCACATACATTCATTATGGAGACCACCCAAGCAGTCCCTGCACTGAACTGGGGTTCACTTGGCCAGAATCACCAGGAGAGGCCCTAGCCCTCCTCAGTACCAACTGAGAAGCCCTTCACCCAAACATATGCAACCCACAAAAAATCCTGACAATATTAAACCCAAAAATGGTTTTGTTTTTTGTTTTGGGGACCACACTCAGCAGTGCTCTGGGCTTACTCCTGGCTCTATGATGAGGGGTCTTTCCTGGCAGGGTTCGGGGGGACACATGGGGAAGCTGGATTTCACATCGAGGTTGGTCACTTGCAAGGCACGTGCCCTACCAGCTGTACCATCGCTTGGGCCCCCTAAACACAAAAATGTTTATCCGTAGCAGTATTGAAAGAGTCAACCAGAGTTCAAGATTTTACCTGGAGGGTGGGATGGGGGGAGGTGGGAAGGATGCTGGGAGCATTGGAGGTGGGGAATGGGCACTGGTGGAAGGATGGGTACTCGATCATTGTATAACTAAAATCCAAGCACAAAAATTTGTAAGTCAACAACTATACCTCATGGTGTTTCACTGTCACTGTCACTGTCCTCCCGTTGTTCATCGATTTGCTCGAGCGGGCCCAGTAACATCTCCATTGGAGACTTTGTTGTTACTGTGTTTGGCATATCGAATACATCGTGGGTAGCTTGCCAGGCTCTGCCATGTGGTTTTCACTAAAAAAAAAAAAAAAATTACCTGGAGGGGCTGGAGCAACAGCACAGCGGGTAGGGTGTTTTCCTTGCATGCAGACAACCCCAGTGTGATCCTGGCATCCCTAATTCCTGAGTGCAGAGCCAGGAGTAGCGTCCCCCTCCACCCCCCCTCGCCAGTATCGCCAGGTGTGACCCCTCCCCCACAAAGCTAGAAGAACAGTGGTGAGACCTGGCACTGCAGGGTCCCCTGAGCACCGCTAGATGTCACCCCACCACTGGCCCTGGTGCTTCTGAGCACTGCAGCTGCACGCCCACATCACTGAGCATTTCTAGGAGTGATCCAAGCACAGGTGACTGTGACCTGCATTTGAAACAAGAAGGGGAAAGTAAGTCAGAATCACAATGAAGTCACTTAAACTTTCCATGACTGTTTTAAATTCACTTAAGTAATAGCAAGTGTAGATGGGGGATGGAGTGATAAACTAGTACAATGAGAAGATAGTTTGGTGCTTGAGAAGTCTTTCTCTCCTAGGGCTGGGAGAGATAATGCCGCAGGTAGGGTGCTTGTCTTGCATGTGGCCGACTGGGTTCAATCCCCACCTCTACCTCCTATCTCTGCCACCTTCTATGGTCCCCTGAGCCCTCCTGGGTGATTCCTGAGTCCAGAGCCATGAGTCAGCCTCAAGTGCCAGAAATTGTGGCCCAAACCACCCCCACTGCCCTTTGTTTTCTAAAAGAGGTTTTTTTTTTTTTTTTTTTTTTTTTTTTTTTTTTTTTTTATCCAGGCCATACTGGGAAGTTTCTGAGATTCCCAACCGTTCACCACTTCAGTGGTCCTGGATAGGGTGAGGGGGTCCCTCCAGGGCCATACCCTGCGATGCTGGCAATTGAACTGGATTTGACTGCAACCTTAGCCCCTGAACTGTAACTCTAGGCCCTGAAAATCCTGACTTTTTGTAAATAGCCATAGGTATACTTAAAGATTTAGCTGTTAAGAATGAAAAATTGGAAACAAACTGAAGGAAACAAATTAATTGGATGCAAACAAATATTTCTAAGGGTAAAATATTGGTTTAATTAGAGTTATTTTGCATAGACATATAATTTATTCAAAGACTAACAATTCTAAGATGCATTATTATAAATACTAAGCAAAACCTACTACCAATTATTATGATTGTAAGAAGTATTCTTTTCAATTTTTTTTATTTTCAGTCTTCTGAAAATGTATTTTTTGAAGTATTTATTGAGGCACTTGATTTATAATACTGTTAATAATAGTTTCATGCATACATCATTCCAACAACACATACCTACCATCAAAGAAGTCATTTTTTAAAAAAATGCGTTCTGTTTGAGAGAAGTACAGTGTAAAAAGGGAATGTCTTAGAATTAATAGGATAATATGTCAACAATTATTTATTGAGCATTTCCCATGGATAAAGAACTATACTATGCTTTTGATTGGTTTATGCAAATATTTAATACTATGGAAAATTTCCATGATGTTTTATTTAAAAATAAAATCATTGACCACAGAGGCAAAGACAACAAAACAAAAATAAATATGTGAAACTGCATTCAATTAAAATGTTTCTGCACAGGAAAAGAAACTCAAACAAAATTAAATAGCACCCTATCGAATGGGAGAAAATATTTGCATTACAGTACATTAGGCTAATACCGAAGATCTGTACAGCACTCACAAAGCTGAACAACAAGAAGTCCAGCAACGCCATCTGAACATGGCAAGGGTTGATAAACAGATACTTCCACAAAGAAAACACCCAAGAATGGCCGAGATTAGTACCAGGAATTTTACTCCATGGCTGGGAGAAGCACAAAGAAAACAGAGATGATCAGAATAGCCATATAAAAAAGTGCTCATTCTTGCTTTTGACCAGGGAAACGCAAGTAAAAACAGCAATGACGTATCATTTTACGCTAGTGAGAATGGCACATATCAAAAAGCCTTGAAGAGCCCATGGCAGCAGGACTGTGGTTAGAAAGGAACCCAAATTCACTGTCATCTGGATCAGCCTCTGTGGAAAGTAATGTGGAGATTTCTTAAAAATAGAACTCCCACATGACCCAGTCACATCACTTCTTGGCATCTGCCCCCAAAACACAAAACCATTCATTTGAAAAGATATTTGTACATCCAATGTTCATCAGAGTGCTTAGTCCTTTAGCCAAGATATAGGAATAACCCAAATGTCCAACTAAGGATGAAGAATGGATCATGAAATTGTGTTATACACAATGAAACGATATGCAGCCCTAAGAAAGAACGAAATCATGCGATGTGTTGCTACATGGATGTAACTAGAGGTACGATGCGTAGCGACGTCAGTCAGAAGGAAAGGGATTATTAGAGAAGGATGTTCTCACTCATATGTGGGAAGATACAGAGCAAGGGACCAAAGGCAACACAATGGGAGACTGAGTCACAGTTCATAGAACTGAGTTTGCATGGGGGCTGAGGGGATCTGAATAGGGTGGGCTTTTGAGACCCTAGTGGTGGAAAGTGGGTACACTGGTGGTGGAGGCGGTGTTGAAATGACAAATATATTATTAACAGCATTGTAAATAATACTTTTTAAATTAATAAAAGGATATGTTTCAAGTGAGCTTGAAAAATAATCAGTATGAAAACATTTCTTTCCTAACATAGTATTAAACACCTAGAGTGGGCCATATATTAAATGTGATCTACTGATAGGCCAAATTGATTTCCTGTTCCTGTGAAGTATTTGGGCTGGAGCGATAGTACAGCAGGTAGACCGTTTGCCTTGCAAGTGGCCAACATGGCTGACCCAAGTTCGATTCCTCCGCCCCTCTCAGAGAGTCCAGCAATCTACCAAGACTATCTTGCCCACACAGCGGAGCCTGGCAAGCTACCCGTGATGTATTCGATATGCCAAACACAGTAACAAGTCTCACAGTGTTACTGGGCCTGTTCAAGCAAATCGATGAACAATGGGAGGACAGTGACAGTGACAGTGCAGTATTTAATTTGAGGTCTTGTAGTTTAATATCTTGACCCTTTCTTATTTCTCTGTCTTGGAGGGGTGGGAGTTTCTGATCTACACTGAGTGGTGCTGGGAGGGTTCTCCTAATTCTGTGCTTGCTTGGGGGTTGTCCCTGGCAGTGCTGAAGGATCAAATCTGAGTTGGCTGCATGCAAGGCAGACGTTTACAGTTTGTTTTTTATTTTAATTTTAATTTTTTTTTTGTTTTTTGGGTCACCGACAGTGATGCTCAGGGGTTACTCCTTGCTCTGCACTAAGGAATTACTTCTGGCGATACTCAGGGGACCATATGGGATGCCAGGGACTGAACCTGGGTTGGCTGCATGCAAGGCAAACACCCTACCTGCTGTACTATCAGCAGGTAGGGTACCCAGACATCTTCTTTTTTAAAAACAGTATTTACTTAAATTTTTTAAATTAAGGTACCATGATTTATAGTTGAGTTTCAGGTATACACTTTAAAATGCTGTTTTTTCCTTAGGAAGAAAAGAAGTTAGGAGAGGAAAGAGCAACTGAACTTACTCGCCTCACCAGACTCTTTGTCCTTAGAAGAACTCAGGAGGTCATAAATAAATATCTTCCACCTAAAATAGAAAACGTCATCTTTTGCCGACCAGAAGCACTACAGATTGAGCTTTATCAGAAACTATTGAGTTCCCAGGCTGTTCGATTCTGTCTTCAAGGGTTGATGGAAAATAGTTCTCATCTGCTATGTATAGGTGCTCTTAAAAAGCTGTGCAATCACCCCTGCCTTTTGTTCAACTCTATAAAGGTAAGTAGACTTTAGAGTCCTCTGCCTTCAGGCGAATTATGCAAATTGAATGGATTCCTGGGATTGCCTTTTGGGGTTTTCCAAAAACTGTATGGTCCATCCATAGAGATTTTCTAGTCTTCTACTTCTTTATTTACTTAGTAAGCTAGTTATCTAGGTGTTTGGGTCACACCTGGTGATGCTCAGGGGTTACTCCTGGCTCTGCCTGCAGTAATTACTCCTGGCAGTGCTCAGGGAACCATATGGGATGCCAGGAATTAAACCCCAGTTGACCACATGTAAGGCTAGAGTCCTACATGCTGTGCTGCCTCTCCAGCCCTTTGTAGCCTCTTATATCAGCATCTGTATGTGAATGTAAGATGCTTATCCACTATCATTCTAGTTTGAATTCATGTCCATACAACTTACTCCTTTAATTCAGTTTGCACAACCCTCTACCCCCTTTTCATATGTTACTATCATTTTGTTCTTATAGTCGATGCACTTTAGTTTTATTTAATTCATTCATTTGATTTTTTTTAATGTACCATATCTGAGTGAAAGTATGTGAGAGGTTTGTTGTTGTTTTTACTAAGCATATTGTTTTTGAGTTTCATCCATGTTGTTGCAAATGGCAGGATTGTTTTCCAGAGCTGCGTAGTATTCCTTTTTGTGTTTATAGTTCATCTTCTCTATCCCTTTGTCGCTTGATGGGCCCATTGCTTCCAACTGTGGACTCCTGTAGACAGTGCTGTGCTGAGTATAAAGGTGCTTTGTCTCTTTGAATTAGTGTTTGAATAGACTTGGGAGGATTCCCAGAAGTAGAATTGCTGGGGCTATGTCACCTCTATCTTGAATTATTTGGGGTACTATACAAACATTGACAGCCCCACCCAGAAGATAAAAGGGTCCCCTTTCCACTATGTCCACAGCAAACTCATTTCTTCTTTCTTTTCTTTTTTTTTTTTTGTGGAGGAGAGAGAGAGAGAGAGAGAGAGAGAGAGAGAGAGAGAGAGAGAGAGAGAGAGAGAGAGAGAAGAGGAGAGGAGAGAGTTGCTCAAGAGATCATATAGTAGCAGGGACCAAACCCTGTCCACTGGGCTCTTGGGCATCGCCCCCTGTCCTTCTGATGAAAATCATTCTCACAGGTCTGAGGTGATATCGCCTTGTGGTTTTGACTTGTGTTTCCCTGGTCATGAGCAACGATGAACACTTTCCACGTGCCTGGAGCCATCATCGTATGTCATCTTGGAGAAATATCTACTTGGTTCTTGTGTCAGTTTTTCATTGGGCTTTTCTTGAGTGTTGGTCATGGATGTTTTTGAGGGAATTTTCCAGTGCTGCTTGAAGGGTCAGGGGTCATTTCTGATGCTGGGCCTGGTGGTGTGGGCTGACGTTTCAGGTCCCACCCAGGCCCACTGATGCAGTTAAGTCTCTGCTGTATGTAACGAAGAACAAGTTTAACTGTGGTCCATGGATGTCTGTGGGCCTTACTTTCCTTTTTCACTTTTGGCCCACACCCGACTGTGCGCAAGCTCACTCCTGGCTCTGTGCTTGGGGTTTTCTCCCGGCTCTGTGCTCAGGAATCCCGCCTGGCAATCCTCGGGGGACCTTATATGGGACTGGGATCGAACCTGGTTTGGCCGAATGCAGGCAAGTGCATTACTCACTGCACTATTTCTTCCAAATCTCTTCTCAATTTTTAAAGCAGTTTTTATTTTTTTGCTTTTTTCTCTAAATAGCAAAATTATGTTTTGCTGACAGAACAAGAGAAAATCTATGGGTGCTATGCTATCTTTGAGGTCATTAATTACACACTTAAGAAAATGGAATGTTCTATGAGAATTCTTCACGTTTATACTACAATGAGTTATATTTACACAGTTTATAATAGGAGTCATCTTCCTGTAATTACAGTACGCAGGATTCTAGCAATTTGTAAAGTGAGTTTTAAACAAACAGATCCTATATATAGCGAGAACATATTAATCCCTTTGGGCATGATGTCCAATGAAAATAGGAGCTCTGGATTATTCCTTAAAAGGAAGACTTTATAATGACCCAGAATGTACCAAACACTACTAGCAGACATATTTGCTTCAGATCTGATACATAGTTGATAGTCTGGATTTATTCAGATTATATTTAGCCTTTATTTCAATATTATAGCACATAAGGATCAATAGAAAATGGCCAAAACAAGAGACCAGTGTGACAGTAATAGCTGGAAATGACCACACTGGACAAAAACTGAGTAAAAGTAGGTAAAGGGATATTCTTGATAAATTTTCAGTATCAATATTGCAAACCGCAATGCCCAAAAGGAGAGAGAGAGAGAGAGAGAGAGAGAGGAATAGTGCCTTCCATCGTGTTATGCTGGCCGTGGGGAGGTGGGGGTGATGGAAGGAGGGAACCTGGGGACACTGGTGCTGGGAAATGTGCACTGGTGGAGGGATGGGAACCCTGATCACAACAGCTTTGTAAGGGTCTATCCCACAGTGATTCAATAAAAAAGTAGCATTTAAAAAACAAAATCTATCTATCTTGAAACAATGACTCACAAGTATGTTCCTGTTGAAACTAGATTGTTTACCAAGTTTACTCAGAGTGATGAATTTTTCTTGAGAAAAATGTGACCGTAAAGTAACCAATAAAAGTGTTATAAGCCATCATCAAAGCATATTGGTTATACAGGGTCAGAGGAGAGTGTCTCAGCTAGCGGATGTGATGAGTCTGGTTCAGCGGATGTGATGAGTCTGGTTCCCACTGGTGTTGGAGCCTCACCAGCCCAAAGCTGTCTCCTTTGTTGCATGGGTCTTTATTGTTGCTTGTTTCCTGTTTGCATGGTCCTGGGGGGTCGAGCAAATGATCTCCTTCATGCAAAGCATGCGCTCTGCCAGTCCACATGCCCGGACATGAGTGGGCTCTCAGTTAGGGACACACACAGCAAGCTTCTGGGAAACTGAAGGCTATCTTTGTTGTGCCTGGAGCACCTTTGGGCTCACTGTGAGGAATTTCTGGGAGTGTGATGCGTGTGTGAAGATTGTAAAAGAACTTTCCCCAGGGATTCTGAGTTGTGCTGCTGGCTTAATACTGTGCATTGGGGCCAGAGAGATAGTCTAGCAGACTGGAGCTTGCCTTGCATTGCAGCTGACTCAGGAAAGATCCTCAGCACCACATATGGTCACCCCAACCCTGCCAGGAGTGATCCCTGAGCACAGAGCCAGGAGTAAACCCGGAGCTCCACCAAGTGTAGCCTGAAAACAAAACAAAAAAAAAAAAAAAGGAAAAGAGAAGTGTGCATCAAGATTACCTCCCTCAGAGATGAAGTCATGAAATTTGCTTCTAAGTGGATAGACATGGAGAGTATCATGCGGAGTGAAATGAGCCAGAAAGAGAGGGACAAACAGAAGGACTGTACTCATTAGTGGAGTATAGAATAACATAACATGAGGCTGACACCCAAGGACAGTAGATACAAGGGCCAGGAGGATTGCCCCATAGCTGGAAGCCTGCCTCCTGAGCGGAGGGGAGAAGGCAGCTGGAATAGAGAAGGGATCACTAAGAGAAAGATGGCTGGAGGAATCGGTCGGGATGGAGATGTGTGCAGAAAGTAGATAAAGGACCAAACATAATGACGTCTCAGTGTCTATATTGCAAACCATAATGTCCTAAAGTAGAGAGAGATTATGGGGAATCATGTCTGCCATGGAGGCAGGGGGAGGGTAGGAAAGGGGGGTTATACTGGGAATATTGGTGGTGGGGAATGTGCACTGGTGGAGGGATGGGTGTTTGATCATTGTGTGATTGTTACAAACATGAAAGCTTGTAACTTTCTCACAGCGATTCAATAAAAAAAAATTTTTTTTTAAAAAAAGATTACCTCCCTTTTAGCTCGGTCACTAGCTTTGCTTTGAAGTGACTTTGAAGTCCCGTCCTTCCCTCCTCCCCCCCAAAAGACAGAATAAAGATTTTCCACTTTCTGTATTATGGTTTAATATTCACCAGGCAAGTTTCTGCTAATGATTTGAGCCTTTTTTTTTCTTTCCTTTTTCTTTTTTCTTGCCATACCCACAAACCTAGAGCTTTACCTTATACATATAAAACAAGTGTAAGTGTTTGGATGCTAAACTGCCCTCCTGTTCCTTCTATGGACCTTCGCGCGCGCGTGTGTGTGTGTGTGTGTGTGTGTGTTTGTGTCCTGGTGTCCTGGTGTCCTGGTGGTGCTCAGGGGACTATTTGCAGAGCCAGGGATGGAGCCTGGGCCTTCAGCCTGCAAAGCATGTGCCCTGTCCTTTGAGGTACCTTGCTGGCCTGCCTGGACCTTCTTTAATTGGACAGGATGCAGAGGACAGTTGAGTTCAACACAGGTCTCATTAGTGTGAATTCCTATTCTGCTTTATTTCGTTTCTGGATTTCATTAGCAGGATTCATGTCCCTAGAGCTTAAGCAGTTAGAGATCTTGAATCCGTGTTCCTCTCTTGGCCTCTAAGGTTGAGGCATTTTAAGAAACTGAAAGGAAAGTGTCTTGTCTTTGTCCTGCAAGTTCCAGTTATCTTAGGGTAACAAGGATTTTGTTTTTCTTTTTCTTTTTTTGTGTTGCTGAGGGTTAAACCCAGAACCTCACACAAGCAAAGCAGGAGCCCTTCCCCGGCCCTCTTTTTTCGCCCCCCCACTCCCATTTCTTTTTAGCTACTGTGGTTTACAGTATTGTTAATAATAGCATCTTAGCAGATGAGTGGAATACTATGCAGCTTCAAGGAAGGATGAAATCATGCAAGTTGCTGCAACGTGGTTGGAACTGGAAGCTATCCTGTTGAGTGAAATAAGGAAGGAGGAGGAGAAGGAGGAGGAGGAGGAAAGTAGGAAGAAGAAGAAACAACAACAACACAGGATGATCTCACTTATCTGTGAAATGTAGAATACTGGATGAGGAAATGTAGTAAAAGGGGGATGCTTAGATCATCCTTGACCCAGTGTTTAGAGAGGAGAAGGACAGAGAAGGAAAGAAACAAAAGGGGAAGAAGAGAACGGGAAGTAATGGGTGAACAGGCACTGGGGCTAGTTATGCCAGTGATGTGAGTGAGGGGTAGAGCCATAGACCCAAAACACAGACTCAACAGAACTGAAAACATGAGCTCTCAGGGGCAACCGCTAGAATTCAATGTGCCTGTCAAGTTGACAGTGGGAGGAATGGGGAGGGAATCTGGGGACACAGGAGGAGGAAATTGACACTGGTGGAGGGATTGTTGTTGACTTCTTGAATGCCTAAAACTGTTATCTCAGCAAAAATGCAGGGAGTGAGAATATCGGTAACTTTGTAAGTCATGCCTCTTTAATAAATTAAAAAAAGAAATAGTGTCTTTGGCATATAGAGTTCCAACTCCACCCCCAATCACCAGGGTCAGCATCTCGCCCAAAAAGGTCTCAACAACCCCACCCACACAAATATTTCTTTACCAAGTGACTTTACCTAACTATTGCTATATTTTGGTAATAAACCACATATTAATTAGTATTTTGTCTCCAGTATTTAAAAACATAGAATCCACTGCCTTTGAGGTGTCTCTTGTGAGTAGGGCGAATACAGCACACATGAAAACATCAGAGAAGTATAAACATGTGTAAATTGTTAAAAAAGAAAATCGTTCCATTAAGTGATAGCAAAGCATAATTTGTATAAGCACAAAGGTCAACACTCAGTGCCTCAGTGCCAGAATAAAAGGCAGGTGTGTGTGTGTGTGTGTGTGTGTGTGTGTGTGTGTGTGTGTGTGTGTGATGTGGGAGCAATGCCAGGCAGGTGTGTGTGTGTGTGTGTGTGTGTGTGTGTGTGTGTGTGTGTGAGCAGTGCTAGGTATACTGAGGTAGAAATTGCTTTGGGTCTTCAAGTCTTTAGAATTCGGATAATTGAGCAGAGAAACTGAGGAAGCCTTCTAGGCAAGGTTGTCTCTTGTCACGTAGGCAGTTTTGTTTGCTTACTTGCTTATTTGACATGGGTCACACCTGGCAGAGCTTGAGCATCTGGGCGTGCGGGCCCCCTGCTGCTGAGAGCTGCTGGTGCCACACTCACCTGGGCAGTGTGAGGCGCCCGAGGTGCTGCCCATCACACTGTGTGCAACTGCCACTTGACCATCTCCCAAGTCCAGAGGAGTCATTGCAGAGACTCTGATCTTAGCGATAAAATTATTCCCAAAACTATTGGTAAAAGGAACAAAAGCCATTATTAGCAGTAAGAACGAATTTCTCTGTTAGATTATGGCAGAACAGATGGTAGGGCAGGAGAGACCGTTTTGCTTGGTCCCCAGTGGCACACGCAAGCTACGTTGCGGCAAGTCCCCAGCTCAAGAGAGGGGAAAAGGAAGACCCGGGACAGCCTAGAGCTGAGGACACTCTCCCTGCCTGCGACCAGCATAGCAGCAGTCTCCAAGTCCCGGGGGTGGACCCCCTACCTGAAAGATAAAAGCAGGGAGAGAAGAAGGGGAGTGGAAAGGAAGAATCAATGATGAGAAGTCCAGGGGGATAGAGTGACCTTGGTTTCTTCCCCGATTCCTGCCCAGTGGGCATCGCGAGGGTATTTGGGGGAAGGCTGGAGGGGCTGCGTTAGGGTCGCTCTGACCTGCTCAACCCACTCAGCAGGATGCACGTTACTTGTTTCAAAACTGGCCTGTTGGGGCTGGAGCGATAGCACAGTGGGTAGGGCATTTCCCTTCACACACAGCCAACCGCGGTTTGATCCCCAGCATCCCATATGGTCCCCCGAGCACCACCAGGAGTGATTCCTGAGTGCAGAGCCAGGAGGAACCCCTGTGCATCGCTGGGTGTGACCCAAAAAGCAAGAAAAAAGAAAGGCCTGTTGAACCTTTCACTATTTATATAATAGTCAGCATGTCTTTCCAGGCAGTGGTTTCCCGTTTAGCGTTGTTCCCCTCCCAGTTCAGATAGCAAAACTGAACCAGTGTTGATGTTCACTCTTCCAGCAGGACAGAGAATGCGGCGCTGAGAGAGAGAGCGGAGAGAGGAGCCTGTACGAGGGTGTGCGGGGTGCCTTTCCACCCGACTATGACCCGCTCAGGGTCTCCGAGGGGGAGTCAGGGAAGCTCCAGGTGCTGGCCAAGCTCCTAGAGGTCATCCGCACACTCCGTCCAACTGAAAAGTAAGAGGTCCATTTTATTTATTTCAATATATTAAACTGTAGCACTGATCTCCCATTGTTCATCCGTTTGCTCAAGCAGGCACCAGTAATGTCTCCATTGTGAGAGTTTTTGTTACTGTTTTTGGCATATCGAATACAGCATGGTAGCCTGCCAGGCTCTGCCATGTGGGTGGGATATTCTCGGCAGCTTGCCAGGCTCTGTGAAAGGGACAGAGGAATCGAACCCGGGTCAACCGAGTGCAAAGCAAATGCCCTACCTGCTGTACTATTGCTCAAATATATTAAACATTCTTTTTTTTTTTCTTTTTGGGTCATACCCGGCGATGCACAGGGGTTACTCCTGGCTCTGCACTCAGGAATTACCCCTGGCGGTGCTCAGGGGACCATATGGGATGCTGGGAATCAAACCTGGGTCGACCACATACAAGGCAAACGTCCTACTCGCTGTGCTATTGCTCCAGCCCCCTCTTTTTTAAACTGAGGTTGTTTGATCTATAGTACTATTACTGTTCATGGTGGTTTCCCCAGCACATAATTCCAACACCCCCCCCCCCTCACCAGCGTCCCCCTCTCTCTCCCAGGACCCCCCAGCTCAGTTGTGCAGGTCAGTTCTCTTCGTTGTATTGTCTGTGGCCTGTTACTGCCGCCTTGCTGTGTAGTAAGAGGACAGTTTAATAAACGGCATGGAAGCACTCAGGGAAATGGCTCAGACTGTGCTTCTTCCTTAAGCCTCTCTTTTAAAATTTGTTTTGTTTTTGTTTGGGGGCTATACCCAGCAGTTCCCAGAGCTTCCTCTCGGTTCTGCACTCAGGGATCACAGCAGGACTCAAGGGACTATACGGGAGCTGGGGATCGAGCCCAGCTAGATATGCGCTGACTTATCATGCTGGCCCCAGCCCCTTTATTTAAAGAAGGAAATGTTTAAAAATAAGTTGTTTCATTTGGGAGCTTTGTAAGCTTTGGGTATTTTATAGCCTAACATTAACAGTGAGTTTTCACTTACGGCAAACTAGATGGAAATATGCAGGGATATAAAAAGAAGCCGAGATGTCTTTTGAGACGTGAGGCCTAACTTGTTTCTTGATTTGTCAGAACTTCGCTTTTCCCCTGCCCTTTAAATGCTGATCCTCCTAGGGGTTTTCTCGTAGCCTCCTTCCCACTTTAAGCCCCCATCCCCTTGCTGGTTCACGTATGCTCCTGGTACCCACATAGTGTTGGTTCCAAGTGTGTATTTGTGTACTCATTTTCACAGCCTTGCATGTCACTGTTCGTTGTCTCTCCTGCTTGTTCTAGTCACAACCAGGGGCCTAGACTTCCACACTTCTTGGCAGGTAGAATGATGCTGGAGTCCAGCCCCGCACACCCCTGGCTGGACATGCGTCTTCAGGGCCACAGTCTGGGGCTCATAAAAACAACCGCTTTGGGGGCTGGATACTACAGTGGGTAGGGGGTTTGTCTTGCATGTGGCCAACCTGGATTTAATCCCTGGTACCCCTTGTGGTTACCTGAATGATCCCTGAGCAGAGCCAGGAGTAAATCAGAGCATTGCCAGGTGTGGCCCCAAATCATCCCCCCCCCAACCCAAATAACAACTTTTCTATCAAGTGGTACGTACTGTATATGTTTGTGTGTCCACAGTGGGGTATGGAATGAGCCCACTCCTAGACCTCTAAAAGAATTATTCAAGAATCTTACCGGAGCACTTGCCTATCATCAATTTATATCTATCCTTGTGAGAATCTTTAGGGTGAAATGTCTTTCCATCTAGTAAATTTTCATTAGAAAAACTATGTTGAGATAGTATTATTCATCCACATAATAGGATAGAAAAAGGAAGTGACTTAGTGTGCTATTGCTGATGGTGTGTTGGGGTCACAGCCACCGTTGCTCAGGACTTATTCCTGATTCTGCTCTAGGCCTGCTCCAGGCAGGGCTCTCTGGGGGTGCTGTGTGGTGCTGGGGATCGAACTGGGGTTTGCCACATGCACGGCAAGTGCCCACACTTCCACTCTTGCTCCAGAAAAAGAAGCAATTCTGAATCCAAATAATGAGTATAGGGATTGTGATAGATCGCAAAAGTGGCCATAAATGCTTCTCCCTGTGCCCGTGTTCCTTCGCTGTGTGACTTTTAGGATCTCACAGTCTTGAGTTCAGACTCCCGACTTCATTGGCCGTTGAGAAATGTGGTACCAAAAGGCCTGGAAGTTCTTAGGCAGCGCGACTTGTCCTCCTTTGAGTTTTCTCGCACCTTTCTCGCATCGCCACGTGAACTGCCGGGAGAAGACAAGAAACATGGAACAGGAGCTGGGGAGACACGAGGCTCTTGTCTTGCCTGCAGCTGACTCCAGGTTGATCCCCAGCACCCCATGGAGTCCCCTGAGCACCCCTAGGAATGGTTCCTGAGCACAGCCGAATGAGGCCCCAGTCTCCTCACCCTACCTCCTTCCTCCCCCCCCACCCCCAAAAAAAAGGAAGGGAAAAGGAAAAAGAGACATAAAACAGATAAGGCTGCCCAGTTGAGTCTTCCTCCTCACCCGTCCTCTGTCTGACCATGACCAGCAGGAAATCACCTAGCTGAGACTGGCCCAAATCACCAATGTCCAGGATTATGAGCTAAAAATATTCAGTTCGTTAGTGCTTCCCCCCCCCCCTTTTTGGGTCACACCCAGCAATGCTCAGGGGTTACTCCTGGATTTGCACTCAGGAATTACTCCTGGCAGTGCTCAGGGGACCATATGGGATGCCGGGGATCGAACCTGGGTCAGCCGCGTGCAAGGCCAACGCCCTCCCCGCTGTGCTATTGCTTGGGCCCTGTGCTTGACCACTTAAGGTGACTCCCCAAAATGGGTAACTTGGGGTACTTCATTCTCCAAAGGTAACTGAACTGATCCAAGCACACAAATACGATTAATACTGGATTGTCTTCAGTTTGTTCACTAGGAAAATCACTCTAACTGTCAAACTGGTAGCAAGTGTTATAAAATTGTTTCATTAAAAAAATTTCTTGGGGCTAGAGTGATAACACAGTGGTAGAGTGTTTGCATTGCACGCGGCCGACGCAGGTTTGATTCCCAGCATCCCATAGGGTCCCCTGAGCACTGCCAGGAGTAATTCCTGAGTGCATGAGCCAGGAGTAACCCCTGTGTATCGCCGGGTGTGACCCAAGAAGCCAAAAAAAAAAAATTCTTCTGTTGATAGTACAGCAGATAAGGTGCTTGTCTTGCACGTGGCTGACGCAAATACCATCCTCAACGCTGCTGAGGGTCCCTCAGCCCCCGCCAGGAGTGATCCTGAGCACAGAGCCAGGAGAAAGGCCACATACAGCCTGGTGTGGCCCAAAGCCCACAGAACAAACACCCCCAAATCAAACTGCTTATTGTGATGTATGCTGGCTTATTTATCTCACATTTAAGTAAGACTTTATTCTTATCAGGCTTATCAGAGACAGGGGCAGGGTGCAAGGTCTCCGCACACCCGTGGCTTCCCCATCCATGGAGCCACTGCAACCCCGCTGACCAACAGCCAGGGGCCTGCTCGGGCTGCCCTGATCCATCCTGGCCCTATTTGCAGCTCCAGGTTTTCTGCTGGATTCCTTGCTTTTGTCTTGGGGTCACACTTGGTGTTGTTCAGGGGTTACTCTTGGCTCTGCATTCAAGACTCACTCCTGGTGGTGCTCAGGGGACCCGCTGGGGTGTCAGACCCAGGACAGCTGTGAGCAAGTCCAGTGCCCTGCCAGCTCTGCCCCTACCGCAGCGCATTTGAGTCTTTGCTGTTGTTGTTGGGGTGGTGCTGAGGGTCACTGGAATTACGCCCAACAGTCCGGGGAGGTCTCAGTGCATGAGACCATTTTCCTGGCCCCCTTGGATGTGACGCCTTTGAGCCCCTTTCAGGCCCTACAAGTTCTCTCCCTGCCCCTTTTTGATTCTCCCCCACTTTGTTGTTTATTCTCTCTTGTTCCGAAATAGTTTTCACTGCTTTCTTTAGTTCTTGCTTCATGCTTTCAGTTGGCAGTTTGAGACTGTGGGTTTGCAGTCTCTTCCTCATTTCTTCTGGTGCCTGAAGATTTGTCGCTTCAAATGGATCTTGTTTTCCTCCTTCGTGTACCGTGTGCCATCTCTTTGTTGATCACTGGGGGTGTTCGGGAAAAGTTGCCCCTCCTAGACTTTGCACATGGGCTCCATGGAGGGACGGTCTCCGCTCATCAGCCCAGGCCTCCTGAATCCACTTGTCGTCCTCCCCCCGACAAAAATACTGTAGAATTTGAAGAAGAACATGTATTTTAATTACACAAGGCCATCGTTACATATCCTGTCGATATCAATGGTAACATTTTTGTGGGATTTCCCTTCAATTTAAAAAAATATCTAATCTTGTTCTTTAATTGTGTTTATATAACTATATTACAAATTTTATATATAATTGCATATTATATATCATTGTACTACATAGTATATACTATAAAGTCATATGTATTACATAAGCTTCCATTTCATTTGACAGGGTGGTCTTGGTATCCAACTATATACAAACCTTGAACATTTTACAAGAGGTGTGTAAGCGCCATGAATATGCTTTCACAAGACTTGATGGGCAAACACCGGTCTCCCAAAGGCAGCAGATTGTCGATGGCTTCAATAGTAAATACTCTTCTGACTTTATATTTTTACTAAGTTCAAAAGCTGGTGGTGTGGGACTTAACCTTACTGGAGGATCCCACTTAATTCTCTATGATATTGACTGGAATCCAGCCAATGACATTCAGGTAAGCGTGTTTAATGCATTAAAAAGTAGACATTGAATGCCCCCGGGGACTGTGACGCCTGCTGGGAATAGGACGTGACAGCGACGATTAAGACCTGCTATGGGTACACTGCTGAGTGCTGTCCATCTGTGGAGTTTTCAGAATGATTCCTAGTGTGGACATCTTACAGATGAAAACTATGGGAACATATTCTAGGCCATATATAAAAGAACGAGTCAGGATTCAAATCCAAACCTGGATGTGTCTGATTCCTTGTACTGTCGGACCACTAAGGTGCTCACGTGTTAAAGATCAGTGTTTGTGCCGGGTTTCACTCACTGGGGCCAGTAGGTGGCTCATGTGACAGAGCACAGGCTTGGCGTGTGGAAATTGGGCATGCTGGAAATCATCTCTCTTTTCAAAAAGTTAACTTCTGTAGGAAACACCTGATTAAAACTTTTTTTTCTGAATGATTAGAGCCAAAGAGTTGTCTCTCTTTTTCTTTAGCGCATAGGCTTTCCTGTATCTTGAAGTATTTGCATGTATGTTTGCACCTCAGTGGACACTGGTGTCTGAGGACCCCCAGGCCACCTTTACTTTCACATTCACTTAGAAGCACTCACCTGGGGCTGGAGCGAGAGTACAGTGGGTAGGGCGTTTGCCTTGCATGCAGCCAACCAGGTTTGATTCCCAGCATCCCATTTGGCTCCCCGAGCACCGCCAGGAGTAATTCCTGAGTGCAGAGCCAGTAGTATCCCCTGTGCATGGCCGGGTGTGACCCAAAAAGCAATAATAATAATAATAAAAATAAAAACGCTCACCCAGCCAAGAAAACTGATAATCCTCAGAGTTACGGTTCTTTCAGTCAAAGGAAACGCACTAGAGCCCGCCAAGAATAAAGCAGCCCAGGGCAGTCTCCAGGAAACACCAGATATACGCTCCGGTGGTCATCTCCCACGAGAGCCACACAGGGGCCCCCACCTGTGCGGGCAGCACTTGGAGCGATGTCAGCCCGAGAGGCTTCTTGCTGTCCAGAGGTTGGACATGAAGACCTGGAGGACCAATCTGATTAATGACAATGCCCGTCTCCAACCCACTCAGAGGAAATTAATAGGACATGAACCAAGGCCCCCGCCCAGAGGGTCAGCATAGACCATCTGGGGTAGTCCAAGCCCTCAGGACAGCAGTTTGGTGGGGACCAAGACCCAGGTCAGTTCTAAGTAGGTTTGCTGTTCCAGGGATTTAGAGGTTGTCTCCAGAAATGGACTGAAAGCTGACTCTCCAGTGGTAGCTCCGATTATGAGCATAACGTTTTACCGTCCAGTACTATTGATCTGAGACTTCAGGGATCTCTTATGAACTGATTACAGAGTCCAGGCAATTCCTTAGAGGCAAATCATTAGCTCCTCAGAGTGGAACGAGATTCCCATATCCAAAAGAGCCACTGGACTTTGTTTCTAAGTGAAATCTAGAATATTTTTTTCCTGCCCACACCCTACTGTGCTCAGGGATCACTCCCAGTGGGGTTCCCCTCTGGGGTGTCGGGGGTCAGACCCTGGTCGACCACATGCAAAGCAAGTACCCTACCTACTGTTCCTGAAATCTAGAATTTTTAATAGAATTAGAAATGACATCACTTTAGTGAAAAGGGCTATTATCAGTTCCTCCTGTGCTCTCAGAATTGTTATTTATTTTCCGTAGGCAATGTCTCGAGTCTGGAGAGACGGGCAGAAGCATCCCGTACATATTTACAGACTCCTAACCACAGGTAACTCTTCAGTAGGATAAATAACGAATAGCTTTTGAGTAACTACCAAAACAGTGTTGTTAATCTGTGCTTCGATGTTAAACATCTGGGTTGTTATTTTTTTAAGCTAGTATGTTAAGAAATATTTCTTGCCCTACAGAAATGACAGGCACAAAGAGCAGAAAGAAATGTAATGCATGTTTCCTCTTCAAGGTACAATAGAAGAAAAGATCTACCAAAGGCAGATCAGCAAGCAAGGTCTGTCTGGGGCAGTCGTAGACCTGAGCAAGACTTCTGAACATATTCAGTTTTCCATAGAAGACCTTAAAAATTTGTTCACGTTTCATGAAACTTCACACTGTGTAACTCATGACCTGCTTGACTGTGACTGTATAGAAGAAAAGGATGATACAGGTTAGTTATATTTTAATTCTGTTACTATGGAAAAATTCACGCATTGCCTTCTAGTAGTAAAATATACTTAAATACGGAGTAACTCAAATTATTTGTTGTTTGTGTGGAGTAAGTATCTTTCTTTTATTCCTCAGTCAATAGGGCAACTGCCAGATGAATTTTTGAGAAAATGTTAATTTTGATCTCACTGGTTCCTTTCTATTTAGCTTGTTATTTCTCAGTCAGTTGTGAAAAAACTTATTTAGGAAAATTTTTCATACCCTGGTATAATGGCTTTGACATGAGAAAAATGTGTTTAATGCTTTTTTGTTTGTTTCCTTGGGTGTCTTCATGTTTCCTTGTCTGTCTGTAGGAAGTCACCTTAGACTCCAGGGGTCACTGGGAGCAGAGCCTCCCAGTTTGCTCTTGGGGGTGTGGCACACTGGGGCCTGAATCTGATCGGCCCACGGCAGGGTAACTGCTCAGAGCGTTGTATGCCCCTAAAGGGCTTCAGGCTTAGGCCAGAAGGTTCTCCAGGTCACCATATTTGTCCCTAATGCTTAAATCACCATCATTACTAAGTTGTAGGAAGCACTCAGTAGATGTACGTAGAAGGAATGAATGAGTTGACTTTGTAGTGATGTAAACTCAGTGTGTATCGTGATATCACGTGTTGGCCAGAGTGAGACCCTGACTGACCCAAGGGTTTTCCCGTTGCTTGCTTTCTCTCAGGTGGTTCTGTGGAAAAGGCCCCTCTCTCCAGAACTCCTCAGCCGGGCCCGCACTGTCAGACGACGTCCAGCTTCCTGAAGCCCCTTTCCATGTCACAGCTGAAGCAGTGGAAACATTTCTCTGGAGATCATTTAAACCTTGCAGATCCTTTTCTTGAACGAATAAGAGGAAATGTATCCTTCTTTTTTCAGAATATAACCAACCAAACTACTGCAATTGAATGAAAGATTATTAAATGACAGTACTCTTGTGCCTCTTTAAATATATTCTGGGCTTGTTTTGTTTAGCTTGGAGGCTACATTCAGAATATTTTGGGATCATTCTCGGTGGGGATACATATGTGGTACTGGGGATAGAATCAGGGTGGCTGGGTGCAAGACCTTACCTGCCCCCTGTACTCCTCTCTCTGGCCCTTAAATATGTTAATCTAGTAATTAAATGGAATTTTTTTAATCTGTTCGAATTATTTAATTACTATATTTCTCCCCCCCCCCCCCCCCCCCCGCTTTATTATCTATTTATTGGATCACTGTGGGAAAAGTTACAAAGCTTTCAGGTTTAAGTCTCGGTCATGCAAATATCAAACACATTTCCCTTTAACAATACTTATTTTTCACCACAAAGAACCCCAATAAACCCCCACTCTTAACCCTCCCAATGCCTGTGAGGCAGATGAATTCTAGTTAACACTCTATCTACTTTGACTAGATTCATTGTTTCGACAAAAGATGCACCATTATTATTTAGAGTTTACACCCCAAAATCAGACCTGCTGAAAAGGCATTGTGAAATAATTTGTTTTCTACAGCTGGTTACAAGAACCAAATGATTTTGGATTTCTGGTATTTTACTTATTAACCCTGGAAGTATTTATGCTGAGAATCAGATAGTTATGAGATTGGTTTCTGTGCTCTGGAGCCATGGCCGTGCCGGAGAGCTGCTCGTGGGGGGCAACTGGTGACCTTGGTAGGGCGTGAAGGATGAGCCGGGAACGCCCCCCTTCCCATGAGGTTTCATTCGCCCCATCATGACTGGCTCATACCTGGCTTTCCACAAAGCTCCCAAGCGGCTGCCATCTTTCTTTCCAGAGGGAAAAAGGTGGAAGGGACCAACACCCTTTCCCCTCTGGGCAGGCGTGGGTTAAGGTATAGTCCATTCACTTTTCTGCTGCAAGCTGTCGGTCTCTGCATTAAGTCCTTATGCTTCTGGAGCCATGGCTGTGCCAGAGAGCCGCTCGTGGGGGCAACTCTGACCTCGGTAGGGTGTGAAGGACGAGCCGGGAATGCCCCCCTTCCCATGAGGTTTTAGTCGCCCCATCATGACCGGCTCATACCTGGCTTTCCACAAAGCTCCCAAGCAGCTGCCATCTTTCTTTCCAGAGGGAAAAAAGCTAATTACTGTATTTCTTGCAGAAGTTATTTACTTTTGACGTGCCAGTCAAAGTTGTTGCTTAATTTTTTATATAAATTCTTGAATGTTAAAACATTAAAGACATACTTCTATCATCATATAATAGTTGGGTTTCTTTTTGGTTTGGGGGCCACACCCAACAGTGCTCAGGGGCTTTTTCTGGTGTGATCCCTGAGGGTCAATCCTAGTGGTGCTCAGGGGACCCTCTGGGGGTAAAATTGAATCTTGGCCTCCCCCAATGCAAAGCATGTGCTACAGCCCTTTTTTGTATTCCTTGATTTGGTTTTTGCTTTTGTTTGGGGGCCACACCCAGCGATGCTCAGGGGTTACTTCTGGCTCTGCACTGAGGAATTACTCCTAGCGGTGCTCCAGGGACCAACTGGGATGCTGGGGTTCGAACCCTGTCAGCCATGTGCAAGGCCAGTGCCCCCTGACTGTGCTAACCCTCTGCCCCTGTGCTCCAGCCATCTGAATCTCATATTTATTACTAGTTCCATAATTAGCACTGTCCTCCTCTTGTTCATCAGTTTGCTCAAGCGGGCCCAGAAATGTCTCACAACAAATTGTGAGACTTGTTACTGTTTTTTGACATATTGAATATGTCACGGGGAGCTTGCCAGGCTTTGCTCTGCGGGAATGATACTCTCGGTACTTGCCAGGCTCTCTGAGAGGGGCGGAAGAATCGAACCCAGGTCAGCCATGTTGGCCACATGCAAGGCAAATATCTTACCTGCTATGCTATCACTCCAGCCATAATGCTCTTTTATTAAGTACCTGCCAAGGCATTTTAATAACAATAACTAAAAAAGGTAAAATACATATCTTTCCATCTGTGGGACTAGAATCTGATTAGGAAGATTACGACAAAGATCCCTGAGAAATGGGGATGTTTAAAATGTAACTTAATGTGAGAAAGAGAGCCAGACTTGAACTGTATTGGAGTTGACGTTGCAGGGCACATTGAGTGGGAAGGTCAGGAGACTGTGGCCACAGATGAAGGACCGCGGGAAATGTCAGAGCACTAACTGCCATCGCCAACCTTGCCTGCGTTAGGGCTGTCGCAGCATCGGGACTGGCAGACTTCTGGGAAGCCGTATCTGCCAAACATTGTACACTGACTAGAACTTCCGCTACCATCACATTCAGGGTTGCAGAAATTTTGGACATTAAAAAAGAGAATGTGGAGCCGAAATGATAGTACAGTGGGTAGGGTGCTTGCCTTGTCACGGCCAACCCAGGTTTAATTCTTTGCACCCCATTTTTTTATTATGAATTGTTATTAGTGAAACACCATGAGGTACAGTTGTAGACTTACAAATTTTCATGCTTGGTTTTCAGGTATACAATGATTGAGTACCCATCCCTCCACCAGTGTCCATTTTCCACCACCACTGATCCCAGTATCCCTCTCACTCCCCATCCCCCCATCTCACCCTGCGTCTGTGGCAGGGCATTCCCTTTTGTTCTCTCTCTCCTTTGGGTTTGCACGCCATTTGGTCCCCTGAGCTCACCACAGAGCCAGGAGTAAGCCCTGAGCACTGCTGGGTGTGGCCCTCAAACCAAAAACAATACAAACTAATTTTAACACGCAAAAACAAGCCTTAGAAGATAAGTGTGGAAAGAAAAGTAAATCATTTACTGTCTCTATAAATTAGGGCTTCAGTGATCAACTTTTGTTTCAATTTTTGGGAAAAAAATGTAGACAATATTTTCATGGGCCCTGTGGAGCTGGGTTTGAACTGGGGCTCCCACATGTGAAGAATTCCCTTTGAACCAGTTCCCCAAACCTTGCATGTTTCCCCGAGATACTGAATTTTAACAAAACTCGATTATTGTATATGTGTTCCTCTGATTTAGTACTCTACCTGGGAAGCTGTCCATTTTGGATTCCTGAGCTGGCACTTTGAAACCAAATTTGCCAGTGAAGAAATCATCTACTAAGAGGCAAAAATGGAATTTCTCCAGGGTGAAAGAGTAGAGGGGTTAAGGCGCTTGCCTTGCACAGGGTTGACCTGATCAGGTCCCCCAAGTCCCACCAGGAATGATGCTGACACCAAGCCAGGAGTAAACCCTGAGCACGTCTCCATGTGGCCATCACTCACCCCGCCCCCCCCCCCCATGTTTTTTCTTCTAAAGTAAAACTAAGGGAAATAGTATTTTCACTGCTCACATCAGAATTTCTCTTTGCTGCTCAGGCAAACAACAACAAACCCTGCTGCATGTTGCAGACGTTTCCAGGAAGCTTCTTTAAGCAACCTTGGCAGAGGTTGCTGCCAGCGTTACAGAGACGTCAAGTGGAGACTGCAGGGTAGGGAGAGTGACACGCCAGTGTGTCTGCAGAGACGAGCCGGAGGATGGTGGAGGAGCAGAGAGCCAGAAGCAGCCCTGAGGTCTGGCTCGAGTTTGAGAAGAGGCTGTTTCAGGTGCAAGAACCAGGCATTCGAGGCTGGAGAGCCGGCACAGCTGGTAGGGCTCTTGCTTTGCGTGTGCCTGACCCAGTTCAATCCCTGGTTCTCCACAGGGTCCCCAAGGCCCCACCAGGAGAGATTCCCTGTGTGCAGAGCCAGGAGCAAACCCTGAGCATCACCAGGTGTGACTCCCAGAACAAACAAACAAAACTCCCACATTCCAGGGAAGGGAGGTAATGGGGAGCATGGAGGACTGTAGTAAGCCTTCAGGAGCTGAGAAAATCTTGTCCCTTTGGGTTTTTTTTGTTTTTGTTTTTCCTTTTTGGGTCATTCCCGGCGATGCACAGGGGTTCCTCCTGGCTCTGCCTCAGGAATTACTCCTGGAGGTGCTCAGGGGACCATATGGGATGCTGGGAGTCGAACTCAGGTCAGCTGCGTGCAAGGCAAATGCCCTCCCCCTTGTGCTATTGCTCCATCCCCAGTCTTGGACCTTTGGCAGCCAGGACTTTGTGGGGGCTTCAGTTCACTGAATGAGACTTGGAAGCGCCCCCAGCTAATGCTTAGGTTGCACGAACACAATTCCTTAGCGGATGATCAGTCTGTGAGACTTGCCTGCATTCAGTTTGTTTCCAGTCCCTCGTAGCTTAACACATGCGTCTGGTTTCCTCTGTGCCTCCGTCTGTGAGACCGACACCTTTGCTGCCACCGTTGTGTCAAGGATGGAGCTCAGGACCTGGCCCCTGTGGCCTTGGGTTCTGCTACCTGAGCCATACCTCCACCCCCACCCCATTAGGCTGGGCGTTTGCAGATTTTATCCTACCCTAGAATTTCAGGTCCTGGCATAAAAGCTTTCATGTTTGGGTTACAATCACACAATGATCAAACACCCATCCCTCCATCAGTGCACTTTCCTCACCACCAATATCCCTGGTCAGTGTATTTATTTATTTATTTATTTATTTTGGGGGCAGTATATTTTAGAGACGTTACTGGGCCTGCTTGAGCAAATCGATGAACAACGGGAGGACAGTGGGAGTATGTAGTTCAGAGTATCAATGTACAAGTGGTGTTAATTTGCCTTTCTAAAATATCACTGTCACTGTCACTGTCCCTCCTGTTGTTCATCGATTTGCTCGAGCAGGCCCAGTAACGTCTCTAAAACATACTGTCCCCCAAATAAATAAAATATACTGACCGGGGATATTGGTGGTGGGGAATGTGCACTGGTGGAGGGATGTGTATTTGATCATTGTGTGATTGTAACCCAAACATGAAAGCGTGTAACTATCTCATGATAATTCAATAAAATTAAAAATAAAATATACTGCCAGGATGGGCGTTTGCCTTAGATGCAGTCGACCCAGGTTTGATTCCTCCATCCCTCTCGGAGAGCCCGGGAAGTTACCAAGAGTATGCCGCCTGCACGGCAGACAGAACCTGGCAAGCTTCCTATGACGTATTCAATATG